GTGATTCTGTGATTCTGTGACTTAAGCTCTTAAGCACATTTGTGAATCAAGTTGTTAGATAAAATTTAATACTCATATGGTATAAGTGCAAAATGATTATTACAAGTGTTATTTTTTTAAGTATGGAAGCTCTGCTTACCGCTTTTTAGTGTCAAAAGACAATTTCATTAGCAGGCTGGTTTCTTGCCTTTTAAATGCTGTCAGGATGAGGAGCTGAAGATGCCCCTCTTTGATACTGGCTCTTCTGTCACTGAAGTGCATGCCCTGTGTCCCTGTTTTTATTTTTGTGTTGAGGGGGAAAAAAAACCCAGTTTTTAATCTTCTTCTCTTGGTTCCCTTGGGCTCAGGGGTCTTGGACCTTTTGCAGGAACTTCCTATTCATAAACATTCAATGACCTTAAATCCCAGAGCCAACACGCAGTGCTCATGCATAACAACATACAGACTGGTTTGAAGAAATTCAACAAGCATCCTCCCTTTCCTTTCTTGTCATGGCGTTGAGGACTGGGAAACAGTTTAAATGAATGAACGGGGTGGAGACCAGCCTGTGTTTCCATGTCAGAGGGGTGACTGATGGTCACGCTGTTGGTGAATGAATTTGTTTCCCAGTATCACCCAACCCAGCCATTCTCCACAGTACTGAAGAAGTGAGGCTGCATCTGCTGTTTCTCACCATTTCATCCCTCCTGAGATCTTTTCTAAAACCTTCTGCAAGGTGAGCGCATGTTGAAGCAAGCCCACTGGGGGTAATCCTTGCATCCTGCCAGGTTCTGAAACTGGGGGAGCGGTGCTGGGCACGCTCCCCGGAGGTTTAACGTCATCTTTAAGGTCAACAGTTCGAGCTGCAGCTATCTAAAAGTAATTCATGAAATATTTACATTAGCAATGTTGTACGGTTAAGAGACACTTAAAACGTCAGCCACTTTATTTTAGTGACTTGTGATGCATACCTCCAGGTATTTGGCATGCTCGGGGAGGTAATTTCTCTCTGGAATTTTGGTTGCACGGACATTCGTAATATACTGACTTCCACAAAGAATTGATTTCCACACAAAATTCCCTGCTTGCCTAAAACCCCTGCCCTCCAGCCACTATCTGGCTGAATAAATATGCAGGTTTTTTCCTTATGAATCATCTGTAGAATGCATGATTGGAGTCGCAAGTAAAAGATCCTGGAAGTAATGTGACTGGACTGCAGAACTATTTTGTTAAAGGAAAAGGGTCTGTGGCTGCACTTTCAGAAAACACAGCAGTTTTACCAGGAGAGAGAGAAAGCAGTGCTTTGGGTATTGATACTTCTTTGTTGCTTGACAGATGTCAGAGATCACGACTGCGGGGAACACACTCGGATGGGGCAGAAGAAAGTAGTTGGTGTATGGAGGCTTTCACCTCTAGGTCACCAGGCTCAGCTCTGATTTGCACTGTCAGGGACCAAAAAGTCATTAGTGTTTTCACACTGTGACCTACCAATGGTAGTGATGGGTGTCAGTCCCCATCTTAGAGAACAAGCTCTTCCTACAGGTGCAAGAAAGCTCATCTTAGGTTCCCCTTAGAAAACTAGATACCTCCAGAGAGCAGTTACTCTTATCTAACGATAGACCAGAAGAATTGCCCTCTGGACATGCCTACACCTTATTTTTTCCTGGAAAGGGAGCCTTTGTTTACCAGCCTGGACTTCAGCATCAAATTTTTACACATCTAAGATAAGTGAGAGGGATCATGCCCAGGTGTACACATGAAAACGTAGCTGTATGGGCACCACCCAAAACCGTCTAGCTTTGGCTGCTGTGCAAATGAAGCAAGTAAGAGGAGGGTTTATCCCTAGAGTACAAAAGCTCCTAACCCACTGTATATAACCCACATAACCCACCTGCTACGAACTACTTAAGTACCAAACTCCTCAGACCACGCAAATCTTATGTTCACTTATTTCACCTCTTGCAATAATACAGAGAATGCAACTCCAGAATTTCTTCATTAAGGGGTATTGACAACTTACAGCACATCTTCCTATGGTTATTCACTTATACTATTAAAATGAATCCAAAACAAGTGATTTACCACAGGTCTGGGTAAGTTTAGTTGTTCAGCCACTGACATATGCTGAAGACGTAATTCTCTCTTTTCTTGACCCCCCTTGACTTTTAGGGGGTCACTTTTTCATGTCAATGTGATTTCCATTTGCTGTATTTGCTCTGGGAGATATCCAGAAAGATACAGGTTGGGAAGTAAATCAATAAACTGAGTAGTTTGTGATTTACCTTTCTTTCATGACATTGCCTTCCTACTTAGAATGGATTTTATAGGGATAAGAGGTTTTCCACACACTTTTTTTCTTAGCTACTTCTTGAAGAATTATGGCAATATATTTTTCTGTCATTTGTTTCTATTGCTTCACCAACTGTTGTTGCTCAGCTTGAGAACAGTTTTTTTTGAGACTGACCCAAGGACAGAGCAAAAACCCAAAGGATGAGATTGAGAACACAGAAACAAGGTACCAGCTTCTACCAGCCAGACTTACCAGAATTTGAATGGACCTCAGCTGGGATTTTAATTTGGCTTTTTCTTAAGTTTATTTTGATTTCCAGAAATCTGTGGTAATCATTTTTCACAGTCATATATGCTTTTCTGCAGGGTAACACAGTGTGTGCTGCTGGATATGGCTATTTCTTTCACCTCTCCCCTGAGGGACCATCCAAAATGCCTCTCCTGTCCTTCAGTGAGAACGTAGCTCATTCCTGCACAAGGTACTTGGGGATTTTTCCTTAAAGAGGTTTTCCTTCAGTGCATGGTAATGCTAACTATAACAGCAGTCATGAGCAGAAAATGCTTTGCCTCTCCTTTCAGGATTGTTTTTTCCCGATTTTGCACCCTTTTAGGGCTTGCTCTTGTAAGCAGAGTTCTCCACAGCAGAGCAGAGTCAGTGTTTGACAGCGACGTTGTTGGGGCTGTTTTTCAGGACCTGCTCCTGAATGGTTTCCTTAGTAATTTCAGTAAAGTTTTTTCTTCTTCATTCACAAGCCCAATTTTTTAACTTGCAGCATTTCCCAATGCTATTAACAAGCTCCTCCACTTTACCCCCTTGTTTAAATGATCCTGATGTAGTTTAAGATGCCACATTTAACACATTTCCTCGTCAACCATGTAACAGCAAAGCACTGAAGCATGAGCTCATGTGTTGAATTAAAAGCTCATTTTCACATATACCAGACATTTTGAGCAGAAGAGGGTGGCATGCAGGAGAACAAATGCACGATTTCTTTCTTACACTCTTCCTTTAACATCTCCTGCAGGCCACCATTAGAGACTTGACACTGGCTTACACAACCTGGAGTGGCATTTCTTACCTCCAGATGTTTTATATCATAGTGCATGAACACTCAACTATTCAAATTTGGCCTCTGATTAAGTAGATTGAAGAGACTAATCACTTTGCAGTCCAACAGGATAAAAGGTGCTGTATATATGTCAGACATTACATATAACAGTTGCTCCTGTAGCGTCCAGGAACGGCTATTCACTAGAGGTTTTGCCTGTACTTCCCTAAAACAGAATTGACAGTAAAAAATGACGTTGTGCTAAAAGTCAGTAGGTGGAGTCACCTGAATTTTGAGGAAATCCGGGTATTAATCTGGTTTTAAAATCCTTGAGAAGGTCAAACCAAAGGCTACATTCAGGACCGCGTAAATTTGGAATGTAATCGAAGTTGGCTGAATCCAAGATACAGAAAAGTCTTACCTGTCCGGGTTCATGTCAGGCTTATCTGAAGGTGATGGTGGTTGAAAACTCGATGAGCATGGTGGGGGTGTTTGGCAGCGAGCACCTGTCAGTGGTACTGCACACGGGCTGTTAGCCCTGATGTGGCTAATTCTGAAAATAGTTGAAAAGAAATGTTAAGTATTCTCTCTGGCATGATTGGATGCCTAAAATAAATAGTGCTATCCACCAGTTTTTGATTTTGGATTAAATGACAAAGTCTCATGCAGAGAACTGTTACAGATTTAAGATTTTAGATATCAAAATGATGACAGGAAATGAATAGGAAAATCTGCTCATGAGTACATGCACTCTAAAGAAACAGTCTCCTTTGCTTTCTTTCCTAAACAGGTATGGGTTGCTGGTGTACCCAGAATATCTGCCAGAGAGCCCAAAGAGACATGTTCAGTTCAACAACTTCACAGCTTGGAGCAGCCAAGGTGGAGCACAGGTATGTTTGTCCTGACTGTCCTCTGTGATACTCAGGATCCTGACAAATATATCACCTCTACACTGACTTCATATTTAAAGCTGCAATAGGTCGTAGTTACGGTAAAGCTCTTGTACCTGTATGTCCATGTCCCTCAGCTGGAGGCTCCTATTTTGGTGATAAAGCCAGAAAGACAATTTGTGTGAGCTCTTCTTACTGCTTCAATGCAGAATCAGTGCTACTTCCATCAAGAGCTGGTGTCCTCTGTAGTCATCTAACATCTGCCTGCCACTATAACCATAGAACCATAGAATCTCATAACGGTTTGGGTTGGAAGGGACCTTAAAGAACATCTAGTTCCAACCCCCCTGCCGTGGGCAGGGACATCTTCCACTAGATCATGCAGCCAAAGAAATCCTCCCAGTGGATCCGAGCTGTTCGTAAAGATTGCAGTTGGTAGAGGACTTGTTACCTGCATAGGGTTAATGGTTTCCATGGGAAATTTTTCATCTGTGTTAAGAATGTGCACTTTTTTTTTCGGTTTGATTTTGTCTAGCTTCACTTCCCAGCTATTGTAGCTCTCTACCACCTAATCTGATTAGAATACCCACAACACCCTTTATTATCTGATACTTACTTCCCATACTACTGCTTAAAAGGCTGTGATCCTCTTACCCCCCCATCTGATGACCTCAACAGCTTTCATGTGTTTTTCTGTAAGGCATGTTTTCTAGTCCAACCCATCCTATCACTCTTCCTCTGAAGGCATCCAATTTTTCAGTGTGTTTATTTTCAGACTGGTGCATTCTCTTTCTGGAAAAGCTTATTCCTATGAAAAGAAATAAAGCAAAAGGATGTTTTGCAGTTTTGTTTTTGTGTTTTTTTCTGCCTAACTTGTTATTTCTTTGTATGTTACTGACCTAGCATACATGAGTGACTAAGTTTATTCTGTTTTTTTCCATGGGTTCCCTCTACTAACAGTCTTCTTGCTGTTAGGTGACTGGAATCAATACTTATGGTTATTTTCAAGGCTTCTTTCTGCTACAGACATTAACTCCTTTACCCTGCTATTCTTTCCAGTAATAAACCACAAAATATTTAGAGCACTTTTACCCTGTCTGTTGCTGATTCTCAGTTCTGATTTTCATTCATACTGTTTTCTTTTACCATGAAAATAGGTTGGCAGAATGTAAAGATTTTTGTATTATCAATTAAAAGCAGAAATAACAAATTAAGGGGAGATGCTCAAATTCTAAATAAATATTCAATATTCACTTTTATGTGTTTTGGCAATTCCCCTGTCTACTGTATTGCAAATAAAGCAGTTATACATCACAATCTTTTTTAAAAAAAATTACTATTCCTTTATTATGCTTTTATATAGATTTTTAGTAGCAGCAACCTTGAACTCCAACGTTTCTGGATTTATGCTTGCAAAGACTTTGGCATTGACATTGTAGAAAGCCTGGGAAACACTTCTGTAGCTGATAGTGTTTTAATCGGACACATTGGGCAAAAGGTAAGTACTGCAGGAATTATTTCAATGTCTCTGGAATTGCACAGCAACACTTCAAAGAATTTGGAGAAATAAGAAAGCAACCTGAAGAACAGCTCCTGCTCTCTGGCAGCTTGGGTAAGGCTTGGTTTTTAAATAGGTTGTACGTAAAGCTAAATACTTAGGCCCAGCTTCAGGATGAGGTCTGGCCACTGATCTGTTTGCTTAGTCCCCTAGCTGTCTTCCACTCCTTGGAAAGATGATGCCTTCAGCAGCAGCACCTGCAAGGGACATTGATTTGGTGATGAAGCAGAGAAACCTGGAACATCAGTACCGCCCTCCCAACCTGCTGCAACCAAGGGTTTTGCTGTTTCTGCTGGCAGCAGCACAAGGGAAATAGCATTTGGTCAGCTGTATCCTGCATAGTTTTTCAGGCGCTCCGTTCATACCAGCTGATGGTAGAGCTGAATAAACATCAGCTGTTGAGAAACCGGAGATTGCATTCTGCAGGAAAATTCAACATTTTTTCCAAATGTCTTTTTTTTTTTCATATGGAAGTTTTGAAGATTTTTTTTTAAAAATTTGAAACAAGGGCTCAGATTTCTCTCTTTGAATTTGGACTATTAAAAGATTTTATATTATGATGCATATGCATATATACTCTTTATAAAACAACATTCAAAAGTAAAAACAAATTCACACTTCTGTTCAACTTACAAGCTGAAGCATTTTAGTAACATAAGTGTTATTTTTTTCCCTATTTGTGTTTTTTTCTAAGATTGACATGGTCTCAGAAAAACTTGTAATTTCACAGAGCTTGAATTTTTGACAGAAATCATAATTTTTGCTTAAACAAGCTTTTCTAACATAAATTCCGATACATATTTTACCATAATAGACACCATTTAACCATATACAACTGGGTTTAGTTTAGTGACTTGAGAATAAGGAGAGGGAACATCAGATTTTATTTCTATTCTAGTTAACGCTTCGTTTTCCTCTGCTCTCTCATAACATCATTGGTCCACCTGGAACACAGAGTGCTATTTTTTTACTTGAGAATGAAGAACATTGTCAAAATGTAACATTTTTATTTACGCAGCAATCATCTTCTTCCATTATTCCTTTAGGCAGCTGGATAAAGTCCTTTGGGTGCTACTAGGTTGTTAACAGATTACAAACATGGATAACAAGGGAATTTTAGTTACAACTGGCCACAGCTGCTTGTTCTCGATTTTGAGGTCTTTTTTGCCCTGCTTAGTTTTCTATTGCTGTTTATGAAATTAATTTTCTCTCTGACTGGCAGAGAAAGTTTTAAACGAGTTTTCTTTAGAAGCTTACAGAAAGAAACCTGTGTAGTATGTCTACTGAAAGTATGTAGTTCAGATAAAATCCTGGCTTCACTAGTCCAGCCTAACATGTTCCCAGTGATGCAATGAATTTCTCGCAGGCACCAAAGGGTGGATGGCTTTGTTTTTGCTTTGCAGGATCCATGGAAGGACTCCAATGTTGTACTTGTTAAGAGATTTAGAGGCGCTCAGCTGTGCCTTGTTTCTTGCAGTACCCCAGGGGGGTGATTATCTTTGATTATCTCATGATAAGAGCCTCCTTGTCATAATTTACATCTTAATTTATGTAATTCTCCCTTTAATAATGATGTCTTTTTAATATCAATTAAAACTTTATGACATTAATTTAGTGGGAACCTTGGATATTCCCCTCTGCTAGCCCTTCCAGTTTTTGAAAGAAGTGCTTTAAAACAAGATTGTTTTCTGGAGATATCAGGGCATTTAAAAACTGGGGCTTTGATCAATTAAAACATTAGTGGCAGGGCTAAATTCAGGGCCTGTAAAAGCTAAGGGAAAGACTTTGTTAGCTTCCTAGACATTCAGCAAACCTCTTCCATGCTTTCATAAAGCAACTCATTGTCGTTGTGGAGCTATTTGAGGAGAAGCATTTCTTCCTGAAAAAGCAGAAGATCTGGGACAAGGTGACACACACTAGAGAAGAATTATAGCCTCATACCCTTTCTCTGCTTGTTATATATTCAAATAAAATAAATTAACTAAAAAAAAAAAAGATAGAAAGGGGGGTGTGATGAAAGACCAAGCAGGTGTAAACAAAAGCCCAATACAGTCTTTCTGATCTATTTGTTACCGGAAGACGGGGATTTTTGCTTAGCAGTGACTTGGAATAAGATGGCTCAACCATCGCCCCAGACATTTTGGCCTCAGAGTAAAAAAGGTGATGGATCTACTGTCTCTTAATGAGACTGAAGATAACACCATCTCTTTGAAGTCATAAACTATTTATAAAAGTCTACTTCATTCTACATTTTCAATTAAAAGGGGATGTTTTCATAGAATCACAGATTCATTAAGGTTGGAAAAGACCTTTAAGATCATCAAGTCCAACCATTAACCCAACACCACCATGTCCACTAAACAATGTCCACATCCATACATTTTTTGAACACTTCCAGTGGTGGTGACTCCACCACCTCCCTGGGCAGCCTGTTCCAATGTCTCAGCACTCTCCATAAAGAAATTTTTCCTAATATCTAATCTAAACCTCCCCTGGTGCAACTTGAGGCCATTTCCTCTCATTCTATTGCTAGGTGCTTGGGAGAAGAGTCCAACACCCACCTCACCACAACCCCCTTTCAGGTAGTTGTAGAGAGCGATAAGGTCTCCCCTCAGCCTCCTCTTCTCCAGACTGAGCGCCCCCAGTTCCCTCAGCTGCGCCTCATCAAACTTGTGCTCCAGACCCCTCACCAGCTTCGTTGCCCTTCTCTGGACACGCTCCAGCACCTCAACGTCCTTCTTGTCGTGAGGGGCCCAACACTGAACACAGGATTCAAGGTGCGGCCTCACCAGTGCCGAGTACAGGGGCACGATCCCTGCCCTGCTCCTGCTGGCCACACTAGTGCTGTACAGTTTCACGAAGGGTGGATTTCTCAATTAATTCTCTACTACAGCTTTTGAGAGTTGTACTCCAAAATGTTTATTGGCCTCAGACACAGTAGCACACATTCCTGCCAGCCCTTCCTCCTCCAGGATGCCCACTAGCTCTGAGTACATCCTTCTTCCCAGCCTGTCTCCAAGATAAATTGGCAGAGAGATATACACTTCCCCTCTGTCATGGCCCACAATCACCACAAAATCTAGTTTGTCCACTGTATTTCCCATCACTTCTGCGTTTTGCTCTTCCTTTCCACTTGTTGCTCTGATGGACCCTGAAGTCAACTAGAGCTTTGAAGAGAGCCTAGCTTAAATGCTTCCCCCATCCCCAATCACACAAAAGGGCTTTGAATCTCAGCAGTCAGGTTTTTCTTAGAACAGAATTAGAATGATTAGCTTTGTAGAGTAGGGAAATTTCCTACCTGCTGGACAAGACAAGGTAAAGTAAAAGAGACTGTAAACAAATCTGCTCACTGTGCCTTCCAGGTGGATTCTTTCTTCCCAGGGAATGTGCAATTTCCTTTCCCTTCAAATGTCCAAGCTTAACTACTATGAAACAAGTGGGACAAAGCAAACAAGGAGATCACTGCCCTGGATATAATACTATCACATACAGCAAATGGTGAATTAAACAGATGTTACTTGCCAGAATTTGCAAAGCAACAGCTTTAGATCTGTCCTTCAAACAGCGTACATTGCCCCACAACCATGGGCTTGAGTGCAATCACATCCTTGTGTCCTAGCTGCTGCATCTTGGACTCATTAGACTTGGAGATTCACATGCTGATATGCTTCCCAGCGCTCTTCATTTCTCCGTTGCAGGATAGGACGTGTATGTCAGCAGGACTAAAAACTCCCCAAAGATACCAGCTATTCATCTCCAACACAGCTTTCAGGAACTTTGATGCGAACACTTGCACAGCGATCAGGACTTGTTCTGGCTGTTACCAAGGGCAGGGTGAGTCTGATTTACACTTATTTAGCAGGGTTTCCACAGTCCCTGGCTTCCTCCCATTTCAGATTCAGATGTTTAGAAGTTCATTGTTTCCACAGACAACCATTGATAGATATTTCAGCTGAATCCCACAAAAAGCACCATATAATTAATTCTGCGATTCTATAAGGATGAAAAGTACTGGCCCAGTTTTTCTTCTGTAATCTTGTCACTGTGTTTGCTATAGGTGAATTATCAAGAGCTAGGTTTTGAGGTATTTGCATACCTGCTCTCCTTAGGTTGCACTGTATTAATAGTTTTAAAAAGTGTCACTCTTTATGTTTCACTTCCCCAGCTGGGACATATTGATAACAGTTCTTCCCCATTCACAGAGAGGTGGGACATGAGATGATATGCCAGATAAATGCTGTGCTGATTGATAACAGTTCTTCCTCATTCACAGAGAGGTGGGGCATGAGATGATATGCCAGATAAATGCTGTGCTTGGTGTGCAGCTCAGATGAACTGAGAAAATCCCTGAGCTGGGATTGTAGGAATATGCATAACAACCAGTCCTCAGCAATACACACCATCTTTAGTGTGTGCATTTTGCTGATATTGCTGGTGGGCTGAACCAGACCCTTTAGCTGCTCTGCTCTGCACGGGCTGAGGTTGCAGGTTCTCTCCAGGCTCCCTTGGAAATACCTGCATCACTTGGTTGAAGCCACATATCACACATATTTTTAAAACAAAGGTAGCCTTATTTTTGCACTGATTTAATTTTCTCAATGGGAAGGGGTTTTATACACTGACTTGTTTCTGCTTCTGCATTTTGGGAGGTAAAATTTCAAGAGCGATGATTTCTTTAATAGCTGTGACACAACTCACAGAATTTCACCAAGCTCCTACCTCAAGCCAGCCTTAGGTGAATTTGCCTGAGATAATGTGTAAACTAAGCATCCTTTTGAGCTTTGAAGAGGCACCCAAAGGCTCTTTGAAGAATGTTCCAACTGCAATTACCTCTTAAATATATTTATATATAAATGAATACTGCCCTAAAATAACATAACAGAGAAAAAGACTTCAGGTGGTGAGATCAAAGGACAGGAGGAATAGTAAAGTCTGACTCA